AGCTGTCCTCCAAATTTCTTAGCATAGATGAGTGGGCACCTCCAGCATTGCATCCACTTGTTGAAACATCTCAACTGGTACTCTGGCAATTCCTGAAGACTCGTTTCTCGCCAATGCCTTCAATGCAGCTCGGACTTCTTCCTTCACTACCATCTGTTCTTGATCATATGCTACCTCCTGAAACAGTTGAATATCGACAAATTCTTTTTGGTACAGTAACTCTGTGTATTCCTTCCATCTTTTTTTGATGCTTCCTGCATTGTTCAATATCTTCCCCGTAGAATCCTTCAATACTGCAACTCGAAGCTTGAATTTTTTCTTCAGTTCTCTCAGCTTGAGAAATGCCAAGTGTGTTCTTCACTTTTGGTTTTCTAACTCCAAGTCTTTGTACATTTCATCGTAATACTTTGTCTTCTTAAGCCGCCCTTTGAAATCTGCTGTTCAGCTCTTTCACGTCATTTCTTTCTTTCGTTTTAGCTACTCTGCGTTTAAAAGCAAGTCTCAGAGTCTCTTATGACATTCATTTTGGTCTTTTCTTTCCTTCCTTCCTGTATTTTTAGTAACCTTGTGCTTTTCTCATGTATTATGTCCTTGATGTCACTCCAAAAGTCGTGTGGTCTTTGGCCATTAGTGTTCAACGTGTCAAATCTATTCCTGAGATGGTCTCTAAATTCAGGTAAGATATAGTCAAGGTAGTATTTTGGCTCTTGTGGACTTACTCTAGTTTTCTTCAGCATTAACTTGAACTTGTATATGGGTAATTGGTGGTCTGTTCCACAGTCAGCCCCTGGCCCTGGTCTGACTGATATTGAGCTTCTCCATCATCTCCTTCCACAGATATAGTCGACTTGATTCCTGTGTATTCCATCTGGTGAGGTCCACGGGTATAGCTGCCGTTTACGCTGTTGAATAGTTGCAGTGAAGAAGTTGTTGGTCTTGCAAAATTCTATCATGCAAAAACCAGAGACTGCATAACTCTCTAGTCTCATCTTTTGCCTTTTCCCCTTAACACTATGCTCCAGCCATGCAAAACATTCTGAACTTCTTTTTGGTCCACTAACCTGCCATGGACTTTCTTATCTCTGGACCTTCACACACACTATTCCTTGTGGCTGGTGTCTGAAGACTGTGACTTTGCCAGTCTTCCTTCCCTCCTCAGAAGATTTCACCAGATAGCCAATCTGTTAAGTCACAAGTATGTACTGAGAATCTACTATGTGCCAGTCACTGTACTAGAAGCTGAGGATAGTGTGATAATCAGGGTGAGATGGCCCTTGCCCTAAAGCAGCTTACACGAAAAGGCTCTGAGATGAGTGTGAACTAAGCATGCTTGAAGAACAGAGAAAGAGAATGCCAGTATGGCTAGAGTAGATGAAAGAAGGGGAGAGTGGAGACAGGTCACAGTAAGAAGCCTGGATTTTTATATTAAGTATAATGGGAAATCACAATAAGCTTTAAGCAGGAGAGTGATACAGTACGATTTAGGCTTTAGCTAGATTATTTTGATTTGTTCATGAAAGAATGTTTACAGAGGGGCAAAAGTAGAAGAGATAGTTAGGAATCAGTTGCAGTGGTTTAGGCAAGAGATGGAAAGATAGAGTTGTAGCCATGAAAAATGTTGACAAGTCATTGAATTCAGGGCATATTTTGGAGGCACAGCTGACTAGACTTATTGATGGACTGAAGGCAAGGTATGGTGTTAAAAAAAAAAGGATTCCTAGGAATATATCCTAGAGAAATAAGAGTCGTCACTCGAATAGACATATGCACACCTATGTTCATGGCAGCATTGTTCACAATAGCAAAACAAT